CATCCAGGGCCTTTAGTGGTAAAACTACCTCAAAACATCTTGGGTGGGTGTTTTGGTGCTTGTTGAATGTGTCCTTTCCGAAGAGGTTTGCCTATGCTCTGTCTCACTACTACTGATCTGTACCGATGTACAGTGGACCCCCAGATTACGTTGTCGTCGTATTTCGTAATAAGTAACGTTTTTTCGTCAAAATATTGGCTTGGTGATCATCATTGAACTTGGTATTAGTCATTCATCCTGAACATGTCCACGCAGCCTGAGCGGCCCAACACACCATTTACTGCCATTGTGGCATTGTTTATCAGCCAGTGAGGATGATCCCACTCATTCATATGATACATTTTATATTATTTCACCATGGGCCCAAAGAAAGCTTCTAGTGCCAGCCCTTTGGTAAAGAGGGCGAGAAACACTATAAAATTCAAGAAAGACATCATTGCAAAATACAAAAGTGGAGTGTGTGTCGCCGAGCTGGCCAGGTTGTATGCCAAACCCCATACAACCATTGCTTCTATTGTGGCCAAGAGAAAGGAAATCAAGGAAGCTGTTGTTGCGAAAGGTGCAAATATGCTTACAAAACAGAGATCGCAAATACTGGAAGATGTGGATCAACAAGAAACAATTATCGGGAGATAGTGTTATGCAGTCAATAACTCGTGAAAAGGCAAGGCAGTTGCATGATGATCTCGTAAAGAATATGCCTGGAACTAACGCTGATATTGGTGAATTAAAGACCAGCAGAGGCTGGTTTGAAGGGTTTGGGGCTGACCCTGAGGAGCCTATGCCAGTTGTGGAAAGTATTGTGGCATTGGGGAATTCCATGGGGTTGGATGTGAGTTTCGAGGATGTGGAAGAGTTGGTGGAGAACCACGATGAAGAGCTAACCACTACAGAGCTGCAAGAGCTTCATCTGCAACAGCAACAGACCACAGCTCGGGAAATTGCTTCAGAGGAGGAGGAAGAGAGATGGAGGAAGGTGCCTTCATCAAAGATTAAGGAGATTTGTACAATGTGGACAAACGTGCAAACAAACATTTATGGACGAACTTCACCCTGACAAAGCTGTTGCAGGCCATGTTGACAATATGTACAATGGCAATGTTGTGTCCCATTTTAGGGAAGTTTTAAAGAAATGCCAGATGCAGACTTCTCTGGAACACTTTTTTGAGCGACAAGGGTCCAGTGACTCTCAAGCTAGTCCTAGTGGCATTAAAAAACAAAGAAGGGAAGTAACCCCAGAAAAGGACTCGGTACTTGAAGTCTTTATTGAAGGGGATTCCCCTCCCAAACAATAGTACACCTCCATCCTCTCCCCTCTTCCCATCTCATCAGTCATCAATATGTCTTCAGTAAAGGTAAGTGTCATTTTAGTATTGTTTTATTTTGCATGTCTCATGTTTTCATGTAAAAAAAAAATTTTTTTTTAATGCTTTTGGGTGTCGGGAACGGATTAATTGGATTTCCATTATTTCTCATAGGGAAAATTAATTCAGAAATTGTCAGATTCGGGTTTAGTCACTCTCTCTGGAATGGATTAATTACAAAAACCGGGGTCCACTGTACTTCAAAATGTGCCTAATCTGAAAATGTAACTTTTCTCAATTCGTCTGTAATCCATCCATTATGATTGAGTGCACATTGCAGCCATTTTTTCTTCATAGCAGAAGTCAACAATTGTTTCTTTACTGGCCTTCTGGCAGTTCTGCCAACTTCAATGAGCCTCTGTCAGAGAGTTGAAGAATCAACATTTATGCTAGCTGAAGCCAAATCTCTCTGTAGATCTTCGCTGGTTTTCTTGGGATCATTCACACTTTTTCTTATAACCTTGCCATCATGAGGTGTTGTCCTGTGTTTTATTCCACATATTCCTCGATGCAGCACTCCACAATCCCCAGTGTCATTAGCTCTCTTCAGAATCTGACCAACAGTTGACTTAGCTAGGCTCAAATTTTCAGTAGTCTGTCTGATACTCAAATCAGCGTGTTTTCTAAGAGCTACAATACTTGCACACTTCCTAGGTGTAGTATCCATCATGAATTTCAGCAGTACTCGTGAATTGAAGAGGAGAATTTGGCAAAACCATTTTCACTCATGGAATACACTTGTAGGAATAGCCATGCAGAGTAACAGCTCTTGTATCTCTGACGAGAGTTGCAGGGTAACACCACAGCTAGGTGGTTGCCAGAAGTCAGAAACAAACTCTTATGAAAAGAAAAGAACCCATACTTAAATAATTAAGCCAGAGACTAAGACATACGAGATAATCACAAAATTTACTCCAGCCCAATTAATTTATATGCTTCTGTAGGGCTCACAAGGCTAGGAGAGAGTGAATTTGGCAAGCAGCAAGTTAAGAGGTAGGTCCTGGACCTGAGAATCCCTGTAAACACATATATAGGTGAATACACACATCTGCTGGATGCTCAAGCTCTTGGTACTCAGAACATTCAAAATATCCCCCCCTCTCCAACCCTTCCAGAGACAACCCCTACCTTTTTTTCCTTCTACCTCAGATTTATACACCCTCTTGGTCATCATAATCTGCTCCATCATCTGTAAATTCTTGAACTACTTCAGTAGCCCCACACAATATTCTAATTTCTGCCTTCAAAAATTCATTGCAATGATTAAAGCCTATGCATCACACCTGTATAAAAGTGTTGGCACCACTATAGATACATTTTTCCTCATTTCTTCCCTAGGTAAGCTTTTTTCTACAACTTATCCGTGTACTTTATTCACCCCGTCAATTCTGATTCACCTTCCCTTTCATGAACCCATCTGGCAACATGCCCACTAGATATCTAAATACATTCACTACTATGCTCCCTCCATTCTGATCTCAAATCTTTTATTGTCTAGATGTTTTGTTACTCCTAGGTAGTAGCTTGGTAGACAGCAGCCACCCAGGGGGGGGTACTACCATCCTGCCAAATGAGTGTAAAACGGAAGCCTGTAATTGTTTTATAAGATGGTAGAATTGATGGTGTCTCTTTTCTGTCTCATAAACATGGAAGATTTCAGGTACATCTTGCTACTTCTACTTACACTTAGGTCACACTACACATACATGTACAAGCATATATATACACACCCCTCTGGGTTTTATTCTATTTTCTTACTAGTTCTTGTTCTTGTTTATTTCCTCTTATCTCCATGGGGAAGTGGAACAGAATTCTTCCTCTATAAGCCATGTGTGTCATAAGAGACGACTAACATGCTGGGAGCAAGGGGCTTGTAACCCCTTCTTCTGTATACATTACTAAAGTTAAGAAAGAGAGACTTTTGGGCCACCCTGCTTCAGTGGGATATGGTTGGTTTGTTGAAGGAAGAAGAAAGATTTTGTTAATGTCAAAATCTAGCTCTTTTCTGTGTTCACATTGTTTCCTTCTTTTACATTCTCTCCTTTCCCCAAATTCATCCAATAACCTTTGCAACTTCTCCTTAGCTGATCCCAAACAACTGTCATTGGCAGAGAGCAACTTTGAAAACTCAAATTTTTTATCTAATTTATTATCTTTCAATCTCACACCTCTCCCCAAGACCCTAGCATTCTTTCTACAATATGATCTAACCTACAGGATTTTAAACAATGTTATGATGAGTTAATAAATATCAGTTGATAGAAGTTAAGAGGCAACAGATAATGATTTAAAGAATTCAGAGGAAACTAGACATCAAAGGAGGAGGCCTGGTCACAGACCGGGCCGCGGGGGCGTTGACCCCCGAAACTCTCTCCAGGTAAAGATTTTTTTTATTTATTATTTATTAACACAATGGCCGATTCCCCCCAAGGCAGGGTGGCCTGAAAAAGAAAAACTTTCATAATCATTCACTCCATCACTGTCTTGCCAGAGGGGTGCTTTACACTACAGTTATAAAACTGTAACATTAACTCTCTCCTTCAGAGTGCAGACACTGTATACTTCCCATCTCCAGGACTCAAGTCCGGCCTGCCGGTTTCCCTGAATCCCTTCATAAATGTTACTTTGCTCACACTCGAACAGCACGTCAGGTATTAAAAACCATTGTCTCCATTCACTCCTGTCAAGTATGCTCACACATGCTTGTTGGAAGGCCAAGCCCCTCACACACAAAACCTCCTTTACCCCCTCCCTCCAACTTCTCCTAGGCCGATCCCTATCCCGCCTTCCCTCCACTACAAATTTATACACTCTCGAAGTCATTCTGTTTCGTTCCATTCTCTCTACATGTCCGAACCACCTCAACAACCCCTCCTCAGCCCTCTGGATAATAGTTTGGTAATCCCGCCCCCTCCTCCTAATTTCCAAACTACGAATTCTCTACATATTCACACCACACATTCCCCTCAGACATGACATCTCTGTCTCCAGCCTTCTCCTCGTTGCAACATTCATCACCCATGCTTCACACCCATATACGAGTGTTGGTATAACTACTCTCATACATTCCCTCTTTGCTTCCACGGACAAAGTTCTTTGTCTCCACAGACTCCTAAGTGCACCACTCACCCTTTTCCTCCCTCATCATTTCTATGATTAACCTCATCCTTTTTTTTTTATAGACCCATCTGCTGACACGTCCACTCCCAAATATCTGAATACATTCACCTCCTCCATACTCTCTCCCTCCAAGCTGATATCCAATCTTTCATCACTTAATCTTTTTGTTATCCTCGTCACCTTACTGTTTCCTATATTCACTTTTAATTTTCTTCTTTTACATACCCTACCAAATTCATCCACCAACCTCTGCAACTTCTCTTCAGAATTTCCCAAAAGCACAGTGTCATCAGCAAAGAGCAACTGTGACAACTCCCACTGTGTTTGATTCTTCATCATTTAACTCCACACCTCTTGCCAAAACCCTTGCATTCACTTCTTTTACAACCCCATCTATAACTTCAAAGATATATTATATATAACATCAAAGATATACTATATATAAAATTTTATCATGCCTATAAGAATGTATGTAACCTTCAGAATTCTTATATTATTCAGTGTTCCTCTTTGCAGACATTTGATGAATCTGACTTATCTTAGTGTAGGAGAGAACAACTTGAGCTACCTTCCAGAGGAGATTGGAACACTGGAATCCTTGGAAACACTTTACATCAATGACAATCCACTACTGCACAACCTGCCCTTCGAATTGGCTCTCTGCACAAACCTGCAGATAATGTCTATTGAGAATTGCCCTCTAAGTCAGATACCTCCTGAGATTGTGGCTGGTGGCCCATCTCTTGTTATCCAGGTAAGCTATGAATTGGTCACTGCTTACGTAATTTTATTATTTCTGTAATTTGGCTCAGTCTACCTTATCAATTCCCCTTAATAATTTTGTGTGTTATCATATCTCCTCTTGTTTTTCTATCCTGTAGTGTTGTTAGATTCATTTTCACTAGCCTCTTCTCATGTCATCGCCCTTTTAACTCAAGAACAACCCTTGTTGCATACTTCTGCACTTTCTCCAGTTTCGTAGCATGCTTCCTCAAATGTGGGTTTCATACTGGTTCTACGTATTCCAAGATGAACCTGACTTATGTTGTATAAGTATCTGGAAAGACTCTCTGATGAGATTCGTGAAGATCACTCTTAGATTTGCCAGGCAAGCATTGGCTACAGAGGTTTTCGGTTGATGTGAGCCTCTGATGAAGTGAATGTGTGAGTATGTGTGCGTGCGTTGTGTGTGTGTGTGTGTGTGTGTGTGTGTGTGTGTGTGTGTGTGTGTGTACTCACCTAATTGCGGTTGCAGGGGTCAAGTCATTGCTCCTGGCCCTGCCTCTTCACTGGTCACTACTAAGTCACCCCCTCCCTGCTCCATGAACTTTATCATACTTCTTAAAGCTGTGTATGGATCCTGCCTCTACCACCTCCCTTTCCAGACTATTCCACTTCCTGACAATTCTGTGACTGAAGAAATACTTCGTAACATCCCTGTGACTCATCTGAGTCTTCAACTTCCAATTGTGACCCCTTGTTGGTGTGTCCCATCTCTGAAACATCTTGCCCCTATCCACCTTGTGGATTCCTCTCAGTATTTTATCTGTTATCACATCCCTCCTGTCCTTCAGTGTCAGCAGGTCGATTTTCCTTAACCTCTCCTCGTAGGACATGCCCCTTAACTCCAGGACTAGTCTCGTTGCAAACCTCTGCACTTTCTCTAATTTCTTGACGTGCTTGGCCAGGTGTGGGTTCCAAACTGTTGCTGCATATTTCAGTATGGGCCTGATGTACATGGTGTACAGAGTCCTGGACAACTCCTTACTAAGATGTCAAAATGCTGTTCTTAGGTTTGCTAGTCACCCGTATGCTGCTGCAGTTATTTCGTTGATATGCACCCAAGGAGATGTGTTTGGTGTTATACTCACCCCAAGATCCTTTTCCTTGAGTGAGGTTTGTAGTCTTTGGCCCCCTAGACTATATTCTGTCTTTGGCCTTCTTTGCCCTTAACTGATCTTCGTGACTTTGCACTTGACGGGGGTTGAACTCCAGGGGCCATTTGCTGGACCAGGCCTGTAGCCTGTTCAGATCCCTTTGTAGTCCTGCCTGGTCCTCCTCCGATTGAATTCTCATTAACCTGACATCATCTGCAACCAGACACACTTCTGAGAGTGTGAATGAATGTGTGTGTATTCACCTAATTGTGGTTGCAGGGGTTGAGACTCAGCTCCTGGCCCTGCCTCTTCACTGATTGCTACTAGGTGTGTGTGTGTGTGTGTGTGAGAGAGAGAGTGAGTGAATAAGTGAGTGTGTGTGAGTACTCACCTAATTGTGGTTGCAGGGGTCGAGACTCAGCTCCTGGCCCCGCCTCTTCACTGATCGCTACTAGGTCCTCTCTCTCTCTGCTTCCTGAGCTGTATCATACCTCTTCTTAAAACTATGTATGGCTCCTGCTTCCACTACTTCACTTGCTAGGCTATTCCACTTCCTGACAACTCTATGACTGAAGAAATACTTCCTAACGTCCCTGTGACTCGTCTGAGTCTTCAGCTTCCAGTTGTGACCCCTTGTCCCTGTGTCCCCTCTCTGGAACATCCTATCTCTGTCCACCTTGTCTATTCCCCGCAGTATCTTGTATGTCGTTATCATGTCTCCCCTGACCCTTCTGTCCTCCAGTGTCGTCAGTCCGATTTCCCTTAACATTTCCTCGTACGACATTCCCTTGAGCTCTGGGACTAGCCTTGTTGCAAACCTTTGTACTTTCTCTAACTTCTTGACGTGCTTGACCAGGTGTGGGTTCCAGACTGGCGCCGCATACTCCAGTATGGGCCTAACATACACAGTGTACAGTGTCTTGAACGATTCCTTATTAAGGTATCGGAACGCTATTCTCAGGTTTGCCAGGCACCCGTATGCTGCAGCAGTTATTTGGTTGATGTGTGCCTCCGGTGATGTGCTCGGTGTTATGGTCACCCCAAGGTCTTTCTCCCTGAGTGAGGTCTGTACTCTTTGTCCACCTAGCCTGTACTCTGTCTGCGGTCTTCTTTGCCCCTCCACAATCTTCATGACTTTGCATTTGGCTGGATTGAATTCGAGAAGCCAGTTACTGGACCACATGTCCAGCCTGTCCAGGTCTCTCTGCAGTCCTGCCTCATCCTCATCTGATTTAATTCTTCTCATGAACTTCACATCATCTGCGAATAGGGACACTTCAGAGTCTATTCCTTCCATCATGTCATTCACATATATCAAAAATAGCACTGGTCCTAGAACTGACCCCTGTGGGACCCCGCTTGTCACAGGTGCCCACTGTGATACCTCTTCACGTACCATGACTCGTTGCTGCCTCCCTGTCAGGTATTCCCTGATCCATTGCAGTGCCCTCCCTGTTACATGCACCTGATCCTCCAGCCAGTATTTACTTCAATGGGTTGGTTAACAGAGGGTTAGGCAAAAATCCTAGTTAGGAAAATATATCTATTTATTAAGCATAACACTATATACACACTCTAGAAAACACACACACACACACACACACACACACACACACACACACACACACACACACACACACACACACACATACACATACACATACCTCGATCGAGACAGAACACAGGACGAAAGGAAGACAATGAAAGAGAGAGTTCAAAAACGAAAGGAGAAATGGGAGGAAATGAAAAAGGAGAGCAGAATAACCCAGGATCAAATGGAAGGACAAGCGCACCCCCCAGAAACACCTGCAGAAGGACTCCAGCCACGACACCCCCAAGGCAACTGAACAATCCAAACCAACCATCACACACCGATCCCTCTGTTTCCACCCCTCGCACCACAGTTACAGTATTAGAACAGAAATTGAAGGTTTGGTACACAAATGCAGATGGATTAACGAATAAACATGAGGAATGGCAAGAAAGAATCAATGAGAAGTCCCCAGACATCATAGCAGTTACAGAAACAAAACTCACGGAGACAATAACAGATGCAATCTTCCCACCAGGATACCAGATCATGAGGAAAGATAGAAGGGGCAGGGGGGGAGGAGGGGTTGCTCTGCTCGTAAAAAAAGATGGAAATTCGAGAAAATGGAAGGAATAGATGAGACGGGAGAAAGAGACTACATAGCAGGTACACTTCAGTCTGGGGAACACAAAGTGGTCATTGCAGTGATGTATAATCCACCACAGAACTGCAGGAGGCCAAGAGAGGAATATGAAGAGAGCAACAGAGCAATGGTGGACATACTTGCTGAGGTGGCAAGAAGAGCTCACTCCAGCAGAGCAAAGTTCCTGGTTATGGGGGATTTCAACCACAGGGAGATTGACTGGGAAAACCTGGAGCCACATGGGGGTCCCGAAACATGGAGAGCCAGGATGTTGGACGTGGTGCTGGAAAACCTCTGGTGGCCTGGTGGTTAACTCTCTCGCTTCACACGGTGAGGGCCTGGGTTCGATTCCCAGCCAGAGTAGAAACATTGGACGTGTTTCTTTCCACCTGTTGTCTATGTTCCCCATCAGTAAAATGGGTACCTGGGTGTTAGTCGACTGGTGTGTGGTCGCATCCTGGGACACTGACCTAAGGAGGCCTGGTCACAGACCGGGCCGCGGGGGCGTTGACCCCCGGAACTCTCTCCAGATAAACTCCAGATAAACCAACATGTTAAGGACACTACCAGAGTGAGAGGGGAGGATGAACCAGCAAGATTGGACCTTGTGTTCACCCTGGGCAGCTCAGACATTGAGGACATCAAGTATGAGAGTCACCTAGGAGCTAGCGACCACGTGGTTCTGTTCTTTGAATACATAGAGCTGCAAGTGGAGAGAATAACAGGAGTTGAATGGGAAAAGCCTGACTATAAAAGAGGGGACTACATAGGGTTGAAGAACTTCCTGCGGGAGGTCCAGTGGGACAGAGAACTGGCAGGAAAGCCAGTAAATGAAATGATGGAATATGTAACAACAAAATGCAAGGAGGCAGTGGAAAAGTTTATTCCCAAGGGCAACACTAACAATGGGAAGACCAGAACGAGCCCCTGGTTTACCCGACGGTGTAAGGAGGCAAAACAAAGTGCAATAGAGAATGGAAAAAGTACAGAAGGCAGAGAACACACGAAAATAGGGAAAATCAGTCGCAGAGCCAGGAATGAGTATGCACAGGTAGGAGGGAGGCCCAGCGACAGTATGAAAATGACATAGCATCGAGAATCAAGACTGACCCGAAACTGTTGTATAGCCACATCAGGAGGAAGACAACAGTCAAAGACCAGGTGATCAGATAAGGACAGAAGGTGGAGAACTCACAAGAAATGATCAGGAGGTATGTGAGGAGCTGAACAGGAGATTTAAGGAAGTTTTTACAGTAGAGACAGGAAGGGCTGGGGGAAGACAGCACAGAAGGGAAATCAAGAGGGAATATACCAACAAGTGTTGGATGACATACGAACAACTTTAGGAGGTGAAGAAACTCTTAAGTGACCTTGACACCTCAAAGGCGATTTGGGACCGGTCAACATCTCCCCATGGGTCCTTAGAGAAGGAGCAGAGATGCTGTGCGTGCCTCTATCCACAATCTTCAACACATCCCTTGAAACTGGGCAACTACCTGAGAAATGGAAGACAGCTAATGTAGTCCCCCTATTTAAGAAGGAAACAGAAACGAGGCACTAAATACAGACCTGTGTCTCTGACATGTATTGTGTGCAAAGTCATGGAGAAGATTATCAGGAGGAGAGTGGTCGAACACCTGGAAAGGAACAAGATTATAAATGAAAACCAGCATGGGTTCATGGAAGGCAATCCCGTATCACAAACCTCCTGGAGTTTTATGACAAGGTAACAGAAGTAAAGACACGAGAGAGAGGGGTGGGTAGATTGCGTTTTCCTAGACTGCAGGAAGGCCTTTGACACAGTTCCCCACAGGAGATTAGTGCAGAAGCTGGAGGATCAGGCGCATGTAAAAGGGAGGGCACTGCAATGGATAAGGGAATACCTGACAGGGAGGCAGCAACGAGTCATGGTACGTGAAGAGGTATCACAGTGGGCGCCTGTTACGAGCGGGGGTCCCACGGGGTCAGTTCTAAGACCAGTGCTATTTTTGATATATGTGAACGACATGATGGAAGGAATAGACTCTGAAGTGTCCCTGTTCGCAGATGATGTGAAGTTGATGAGAAGAATTAAATCGGACGAGGATGAGGCAGGACTGCAAAGAGACCTGGACAGGCTGGACATGTGGTCCAGTAACTGGCTTCTCGAATTCAATCCAGCCAAATGCAAAGTCATGAAGATTGGGGAGGGGCAAAGAAGACCGCAGACAGAGTATAGGCTAGGTGGACAAAGACTACAGACCTCACTCAGGAGAAAGACCTTGGGGTGACCATAACACCGAGCACATCACCGGAGGCACACATCAACCAAATAACTGCTGCAGCATATGGGCGCCTGGCAAACCTGAGATTAGCGTTCCGATACCTTAATAAGGAATCGTTCAAGACACTGTACACTGTGTATGTTAGGCCCATACTGGAGTATGCAGCACCAGTCTGGAACCCACACCTGGTCAAGCACGTCAAGAAGTTAGAGAAAGTACAAAGGTTTGCAACAAGGCTAGTCCCAGAGCTCAAGGGAATGTCGTGCGAGGAAAGGTTAAGGGAAATCGGACTGACGACACTGGAGGACAGAAGGGTCAGGGGAGACATGATAACGACATACAAGATACTGCAGGGAATAGACAAGGTGGACAGAGATAGGATGTTCCAGAGAGGGGACACAGGGACAAGGGGTCACAACTGGAAGCTGAAGACTCAGACGAGTCACAGGGACGTTAGGAAATATTTCTTCAGTCATGGAGTTGTCAAGAAGTGGAATAGCCTAGCAAGTGAAGTAGTGGAGGCAGGAACCATACATAGTTTTAAGAAGAGGTATGACAAAGTCAGGAAGCAGAGAGAGAGAGGACCAGTAGCGATCAGTGAAGAGGCGGGGCCAGGAGCTGAGTCTGACCCTGCAACCACAATTAGGTGAGTACCACACACACATGCGCACACACACACACACACACACACACACACACACACACACACACACACACACACACACACACACACACACACACACACACACACACACACACACACACACACACACACACAGATAGCGAGAGATATGTGGGTGGCCTTACTGTTATGTACAAGGCCAATATTGTCAAAGTACCACACTTGGATCCACTTCGAGGACAGCGTGAAACAAGCTTTTATGCCACAAGACGGGCAGAAAGCAGCAACTTCACTCTGGCTGTACCCTTCTCCAGAACATCACTCCATCTGAGATCATATATACCCAGGGTGACTTGAGTATGGAACACATTCGTACAGCATAATGATGTCAACGAGATAAAGTCAGTTGATCAAATGAAAATGCTGGCCCACAGATGTCTCCAACTTCATCCTGTTCCCTACTTGTATGTCTCATAACAATAAAAATGCTTTCAAATGAGCTGATGTAGGTAACAGCTCTTAGCTTGCCAATAAAGTTAGGAATCCTTAACCTGTAAATAGCTTGCCAATAAAGCTAAGGATCCTTAACCTTGTCAAACCCTGTGTAAAAAAAAAAAAAAAAAAAGTGAGAGAGAGAGAGAGAGAGAGAGAGAGAGAGGAGAGAGTGAGAGTGAGAGTGTGCATAGTTGTTTGTATGTTTGCATTTGTGTGAATGAGTGAGTGTAGGAGGAGGGTGGGAGCGTGTGTGTGTGTGTGTGTGTGTGTGTGTGTGTGTGTTGTGTGTGTGTGTGTGTGTGTACTCAATTGTGGTTGCAGGGGTCGAGACTCAGCTCCTGGCCCCATGTGTGTGTGAGCACGCCAGTTGTTTATATGTTCCAGAAATAATGCACCTCACTTCTATGTATCCATAATACTAATAAAATACCATTAATAATAACAGTAATTCTAATAATTATAATACTAATGTGTGTTGATGAGTGTTTCCTTTGCCCACATATGTACTACCTTTTACTACATGTGTACCCAATACTTGCTTCTCAGATTGTACTGTCTTTGTGTCTTAAAAACTTATCTCTTAAAACTGTTGTCAGGTCTGTAGTCCTATTGGCCCCCACTTACTCCTCCTACCAAGGTCACCTATTCCTTGCTCCTACAAATTTTGTCTTCCTACTACTGCTAGGTGCTGTGTGTATGATAATCACTCTGGAGCAGGGTTTGTGATAGCCAGCTACCAGTGATCTAGGGCTGGCTCTATCACTCAAACTTCCCCGTTAACCACAAACAGGTGATTTGTATGTTACTCCTCAGAGGGGACGTCCATCCAGATGCCTGCTGTACGATGACTCGTGCTCCTCGCCCTTCCACCTCTGACCTCTTCAGTTATTCTATTCTCGTTGCCCGTTTGAGTCCTTTTGAGCCCGTTTGTGTGTGTGTGTGCTTACCTAGTTGTACTCACCTAGTTGTGGTTGCAGGGGTCAAGTCATAGGTCTTGACTGGTCACTACTGGGTCACTCTCCCTGAACCATGAGCTTTATCATACCTCTGCTTAAAGCTATGAATGGATCCTGCCTCCACTACATCGCTCCCCAAACTGTTCCACTTCCTCACTACTCTGTGACTGAAGAAATACTTCCTGACTACTCTGTGACTGAAGAAATACTTCATGACATCCCTGTGATTCATTTGTGTCTTCAACTTCTAACTGTGTCCCATCTCTGGAACATTCTGTCTCTGTCCACCTTGTCAATTCTTCTCAGTATTTTATATGTCATTATCATATCCCCCCCTATCTCTCCTGTCCTCCAGTGCCATCAGGTCGATTTCCCTTAGCCTCTCCTCGTAGGACATACCCTTAGCTCTGGGACTAGTCTTGTTGCAAACCTTTGCATTTTCTCTTTCTTAATGTGCTTGGCTAGATGTGGGTTCCAAACTGGTGCCGCATACTCCAATATGGGCCTAACATACAGTGTGTGTGTGTGTTTGTACTCACCTAATTGTGGTTGCAGGGGTTGAGACTCAGCTCCTGGCCCCACCTCTTCACTGAGTGCAATTAGATCCTCTCTCTCCCTGCTCCATGAGCTTTATCATACCTCATCTTATAGCCATGTATGGTTCCTGCCTTCACTACCTCACTTGCTAGTGTGTGTGTGTGTGTTTTGTGTGTTTTGTTTTATGTGTGTACTCACCTGTATGTGGCCGCAAGGGGGGTCGAGTCTTAACTCCTGGTCCTGCCTCTCAACACACTGCTTGCCTGATTCACTCCCTTCTAGCCTTATGGGCCGTATCGTACCTGCTGTTAAAACCACGTATGAAGTCTGTCTTCACCGCTTATTCGTTGAGTTTATTGCCCTTCCTGACCACGCTGAGATAGAAGAAATATGACCTGACAGCCCTGTGACTCATCTGTCTTTAACTTCCAGCAGTGCCCCTAAGTACCTGTTTCCTGAATCTGAAACAGCCTGTCTTTGCCTTATCAGTTCCTCTGTATTTTGTTTATCATTATGTGTTCCCTGGTCCTTCTGTCCTCCATTATCATTAGATTTAATTCTGTTAACCTCTCTTTGTAGCTGAACTTGGTTAGCTTTGGAACTAGTCTCATTGCATATTTCTGCACTTTCTCCAGTTTCCTAACATGCTTTCTCAGGTAGGTGTGTGTGTGGAGGGGAGAGGGGATATTGTGTAATTTTTCCATGCTCATTTGTTAATTAAATATTTCTTTTCTTTTTTTTTCAGTTTTTGAAGATGCAGGGTCCATACCGCACAATGTGAGGAAACTGTCTCCTATTGACATTATAAACAGAAGTAAGAAAGCATGCATCATGACGAGCAGCTTTTACAGTGGCTGCTGTTTCTGGGAACTGCTTCAACTTACTGCAGCGCCTAGGTTGTTCCTGCTACTACTCCTGCACCCAAAATTCTAATTGCTGCTTGTGATTCTGGGTGGTCCAGTAGCTGGATATCCATGTTGTTTCCCAGTGTGGCACTACGAAAGGTTAACAGGCTGCCTGCGAGTATGGTGCCTGCAGGCCACCTGTGTCATTGGGTGACGTAAGAGAAAACATTGGATATGTGTTAGGGATTCAGGCTTCCCTGTAAAATGTGATATTGTGCTTTTCTTGTTAGATTTAAGTGTGTGGCCAGGCCAGTGGAGAAATTGGTAGTAATGTGTACCTGGCCTTGGTGTGGTGGTGCGCAATATGACAAGCGTGGTAATGGGCTGTGGTGGTGTTTGAAGGAGGCCCTAATTACCCATCTTGGCTAAGGTGCAAAGTACATACAATACTGTATCTATTAAAAAGTATATAAAAGCATTAAAACAAAATGTAAGAGAATGACCACCACCTGTCCATTCTGGCTAAGTTTAATGGTAGTTTCTGGTGTTACAAGTAGGAAATTATATAAACTCCAACACTACTAGCTACCTATCCTGGCCATGATGTGTGGTGTATGGTCAAACAAGCATGGTATGGGGCAGCTGCAGTGTGAGGAAGAGGCTCCCCCAATTCACCACTGATGGTAGCAACCTGAGAGGAAAAAGTGCTTGTGCTCATTGTCAAATGTTGATTGTGCATGTATGGCTGTGCATGCACAGTGTGACAAAGTGAGGTAGCCCTGGTGGTGTGGCTCTGGTCTCCCCCCTATACAATGCCATTCACTGACTATCAGTTGGTAGTCATGTGTGACTTCTCCCCCAGCTCCACATTGACTACCAGATAGTTACTGGATGATGTTGAAGCAGTGCCAGCCACTGGGCCCACCTTCATTCTGTGCTGCTTTTGTGTGAGTGTCCTTGTGTATATATGTAACATAAGCCTGCTATTAGGTTGCTTCAAACCAATGCTGATTTATCCTCTCACGACACTGCTGCACCCCAAACCATTGCTTTGGTGTGTGTCTGAGAGCGTGTGTGTCTGTCTGTCTTTTCATATGTACAGTATATTGTAGTGAGTGTTAACTGTCACAGAAATTACACAAAAATTGTGTGGATGTGAATATCAGTATTTTCTAGAAAGGCCTGATTTGCTTTGCCATGTAAATATTTGCTTTTAACTAACTCAGTCCAGGAATAATATGTGAAAGTGGAAAAAATCTATCATACTTTGCTTCCTGTGCCAAGCTAAGGCTTCTTTTTTTCTATTTATATAACTTTTTAAAAAATCTCTTTTAGTTATTTTTGAAGCCATGAGACTAAGTTTGGTGGCGACAATGGACCAGTGTGTCTTGTGGTGGACAGTGAAATTGTCTTTGTTTGATATATCCATACCATGTAGTGGATGTATTAAATAAGGTGTTCAACTGCAAATGTTTTGATTACCGTAGGTGGATGACGTCTGAGGCACCTGTCTTGGAATTTTATCACCCACATTACCCCCCACCAGTAGAAAAGGACTCAACACTTTGCAAGGAAGGTCAAAACACATTCATGTAATATTTCTACAAACCCCCATTTCCCCTAGAGGCTCATTGGTGCTCTACAACTGGAGCCTCATTCCTCTCTGATTTATAAAAGGTGGATGCATATATCCTAAAAGAAAAATGTGATTGTGTAATGCTACACAGTAATCTTCAAAAATAATCCCAGATGGATTATATGTGGTCATAGTGTTATGCAAGTTATTAATGACACCCTTTGGAGCAACAAAGACATGATTATGGTATGTGGTGCAAGGCTATGTGGGCATTACGCCAGATGATGAAGTTAAAAACATGGTTACATATGTTTGGAAATGGAGCTCTTTGAATCTAGTAGATGGCCAGCTGACATGCCTTTGCACTCTTAGTTGGCTTGAACTGGACAATGTTGTACACTACAGTGTTCAAGTTGCTGCTTTGAAGATTGATATTTCATCTTCAAGAACTGCAAGGCAGTTAGGTTTTAGTGTACTTCAGTGATTACTGCTGCAAACTCCTTGAAGCAGCTGTGAAAAATAACCTAGTCAGTGTCCCGTGGGATGTTGTGCCTGTAGGCTGGTCTGTCGTTGGTCTAAGACACCTCCCACACCATCCATTGCTTTGTAGCCTCAAAACCCCACAGAAATAACCAATGCTTATTACTCAAATGGACATGCTGTGTATCAGTCGCCTCTCAAAAATGTTACTCAATAAACCTGTAGGTGAAATGTTTAGCTTTTCTTGAATCCCAGTCTCTTTCTAGAGGGTGTAAGGAAAAACATGCTTAACATACATGTACTATTTATTTCAGCAAAACAGTACTTAACTGTGATAACTCTTACCAAACTATTTTATCTAATTTTTTTTGAGGAATTAACACACTATCCAAAAGTTTTATTATTATTCCTGTTCCAACTGTACTGTTATTCTCTCTGATGGTAAATGACTGGTTCTGCATCATCACCATACTTTCTTGCAGGGTCAGTATTACTGTCCCATGGTCACCTGGGTGTAAGAAGATTTTATAATTTGTCATAACACAAATGGGCATAACTATGAAAGTACATAGTGTATTAACAAATGTAGACTATGAATCTAAATCATTAAATTTCTCTTTGGAAATACACACTGATAAACATTACTATGTTTCCAGCAATACTGAAATTTCATCCAGAGGTGAGAAAGATGGCTACTGGACTTCCTCACTGCTTTCCTCTATTAGTGTGGTCTTTAGAACCTTACCTGGATGTGTGTTGAATTACAATAATCCTAAAACTGTGAGCAGGAAGGAGAAATGCTGCGACACTGTATTTATAACACTAAAAGCATCCAAAAGCAAATACAGTATAATTATCTTGTATTGGAGTTTGGCAGTTTTAAGCCTGCTAAAGCCATGTTACACAATCTTGTTCCCTTCAAAAGGGGTGCTTTGATACTGGTGAAGGGCTTTTGATTCAAGGGTCCTGAGCTACCTTGGATCCAACCTGATTACTGTCCATTCCACATGCACTGTATGACCCCCCTATGGGTTTATTATCATGGGGAGCACTAAACTCATAAGGGTTATACAGTGTCTGGGGGAATGAGAGGCATTCTATTCAGACCAAGGAAGAGCAGCACAGGTCCACTTCCTTATATCAAGAGCTTCTCACCAGCCCCTATGGGTTTGGCAATTACCCATAAATACACCACTAAATACACTTCTTACACAGATAGAGGAGCAATGCGGCAGATGTTGCAAGTATATGGAATAGGTGATAAGTTACTAAATGCTGTAAAGAGTTTTTATGAGGATAGTGAGGCTCAGGTTAGGGTGTGTAGAAGAGAGGGAGAATACTTCCCGGTAAAAGTAGTCTTAGACAGGGATGTGTAATGTCACCATGGTGGTTTAATATATTTATAGATGGGGTTGTAAAAGAAGTAAATGCTAGGGTGTTCAGGAGAGGGGTGGGATTAAATTATGAGGAATCAAATTCAAAATGGGAACTGACACAGTTACTTTTTGCTGATAATACTGTGCTTATGGGAGATTCTAAAGAAAAAAATTGCAAGGTTAGTGGATGAGTTTGAGATGTGTGTAAAGGTAGAAAGTTGAAAGTGAACATAGAAAAGAGTAAGGTGATGAGGGTATCAAATGATTTAGATAAAGAAAAATTGGATATCAAATTGGGGAGGAGGAGTATGGAAGAAATGAATGTTTTCAGATACTTGGGAGTTGCGTGTCGGCAGATGGATTTATGAAGGATGAGGTTAATCTTTGAATTGATGAGGGAAAAAGCGTGAGTGGGGCGTTGAGGTATATGTGGAGTCAAAAAAAACGTTATCTACGGAGGCAAAGAAGGGGAAAAATATGAAAGTATAGTAGTACCAACACTCTTTATGGATGTGAAGCTTGGGTGGTAAATGCAGCAGCGAGGAGACGGTTGGAGGCAGTGGAGATGTCCTGTCTAAGGGCAATGTGTGGTGTAAAAATTATGCAGAAATTCGGAGTGTGGAAATTAGGAGGGGTGGAGTTAAAAAAGCATTAGTCACAGGGCAGAAGAGGGGTTTTGAGGTGGTTTGGTCATTTAGAGAGAATGGATCAAAAATAGAATGACATGGAAAGCATATAAATCATAGGGGAAGGAAGGAGGGTAGGAGTCGTCCTCGAAAGGGTTGGAAAGAGGGGGTAAAGGAGGTTTTGTGGGCAAGGGGCTTGGACTTCCAGCAAGCGTGCATGAGCGTTGTTAGATAGGAGTGAATGGAGACGAATGATACTTGGGACCTGATGATCTGTTGGAGTGTGAGCAGGGTAATATTTAGTGAAGGGATTCAGGGAAACGGTTATTTTCATATAGTCGGACTTGAGTCTGGAAATGGAAGTACAATGCCTGCACTTTAAAGGTTGGGTTGGATATTGGCAGTTTGGGGGATATGTTGTGTATCTTTATAGTATATGCTTCTAAACTGTTGTATTCTGAGCACCTCTGCAAAAGCAGTGATAATGTGTGAGTGTGGTGAAAGTGTTGAATGATGATGAAAGTATTTTCTTTTTGGGGATTTTTTTCTTTTTGGGTCACCCTGCCTCGGTGGGAGACGGCCGACTTGTTGAAAAAAAAATATATATATATATATATATATACCATCTTTTAGGAGTGAAGAAGAGCAGAATGTAAGTGTGGAGGAGGTACGCGAGGCATTACGTAGAATGAAAGGGGATAAAGCAGCTGGAACTGATGGGATCATGACAGAAATGTTAAAAGGGAGGGGGGGATTATAGTGTTGGAGTGGTTGTTACTTTTGTTTAATAAATGTATGAAAGAGGGGAAGGTACCTAGGGATTGGCGGAGAGCATGTATAGTCCCTTTATATAAAGGGAAAGGGGACAAAAAAGATTGTAAAAAATTATAGAGGAATAAGTTTGAGTATACCAGGAAAAGTGTACGGTAGGGTTATATTGAAAGAATTAGAGGTAAGACAGAATGTAGGATTGCGGATGAGCAAGGAGGTTTCAGAGTGGGTAGGGGATGTGTAGATCAAGTGTTTACATTGAAGCATATAGGGGAACAGTATTTAGATAAAGGTAGGGAAGTTTTTATTTCATTTATGTATTTAAAAAGGCATATGATAGAGTGGATAGGGGGAGCAATGTGGCAGATGTTGCAAGTATATGGAATAGGTGGTAAGTACTAAATGCTGTAAAAAAGTTTTTTTGAGGAGAAAGGAGGCTCAGGTTAGGGTGTGTAGAAGAGAGGGGGACTACTTCCCGGTAAAAGTAGGTCTTAGACAGGGATGTGTAATGTCACCATGGTTGTTTAATATATTTATAGATGGGGTTGTAAAAGAAGTAAATGCTAGGGTGTTCGGGAGAGGGGTGGGATTAAATTATGGGGAATCAAATTCAAAATGGGAATTAACACAGTTACTTTTTGCTGATGATACTGTGCTTATGGGAGATTCTAAAGAAAATTGCAAAGGTTAGTGGATGAGTTTGGGAATGTGTGTAAAGGTAGAAAGTTGAAAGTGAACACAGAAAAGAGTAAGGTGATGAGGGTATCAAATGATTTAGATAAAGAAAAATTGGATATCAAATTAAGGAGGAGGAGTATGGAAGAAGTGAATGTTTTCAGATACTTGGGAGTTGACGTGTCGGCGGATGGACTTATGAAGGATGAGGTTAATCATAGAATTGATGAGGAAAAAAAGGGGAGTGGTGCATTGAGGTATATGTGGAGTCAAAAAACATTATCTATGGAAGCAAAGAAGGGAATGTATGAAAGTATAGTAGTACCAATACTCTATAAATAAATCTATAGGGGTCGTCCTCGAAAGGGTTGGAAAGAGGGGGTAAAGGAGGTTTTGTGGGCAAGGGGCTTGGACTTCCAGCAAGCGTGCATGAGCGTGTTAGATAAGAGTGAATGGAGACGAATGATACGTGGGACCTGACGATCTGTTGGAGTGTGAGCAGGGTAATATTTAGTGAAGGAATTCAGGGAAACCGGTTTTCATATAGTCGGACTTGAGTCCTGGAAATGGGAAGTACAATGCCTGCACTTTAAAGGAGGGGTTTGGGATATTGGCAGTTTGGAGGGATATGTTGTGCATCTTTATACGTATATGCTTCTAAACTGTTGTATTCTGAGCACCTCTGCAAAAACAGTGATTATGTGTGAGTGTGGTGAAAGTGTTGAATGATGATGAAAGCATTTTCTTTTTGGGGATTTTCTTTCTTTTTTGGGTCACCCTGCCTCGGTGGGAGACGGCCGACTTGTTGGAAATATATATATATATATATATATATATATATATATTGGTCACACTTCACAGACATGCACATGCATATATATATACATACATCTAGGTTTTTCTCCTTTTTCCACATAGCTCTTGTTCTTCTTTATTTCTTCTATTGTCCATGGGGAAGTGGAAAAGAATCTTTCCTCCGTAAGCCATGCGTGTCGTATGAGGCGACTAAAATGCCGGGAGCAATGGGCTAGTAACCCCTTCTCCTGTAGACATTTACTAAAAAAGAGAAGAAGAACTTTATAAAACTGGGATGCTTAAATGTGCGTGGATGTAGTGCAGATGACAAGAAACAGATGATTGCTGATGTTATGAATGAAAAGAAGTTGGATGTCCTGGCCCTAGCGAAACAAAGCTGAAGGGGGTAGGGGAATTTCGGTAGGGGGAAATAAATGGGATTAAATCTGGAGTATCTGAGAGAGTTAGAGCAAAGGAAGGGGTAGCAGTAATGTTGAATGATCAGTTATGGAAGGGAGAAAAGAGAATATGAATGTGTAAATGCAAGAATTATGTGGATTAAAGTAAAGGTTGGATGCGAGAAGTGGGTCATAATAAGCGTGTATGCACCTGGAGAAGAGAGGAATGCAGAGGAGAGAGAGAGATTTTGGGAGATGTTAAGTGAATGTATAGGAGCTTTGAACCAAGTGAGAGAGTAATTGTGGTAGGGGACCTGAATGCTAAAGTAGGAGAAACTTTTAGAGAGGGTGTGGTAGGTAAGTTTTTGGGGGGCCAGGTGTAAATGATAATGGGAGCCCTTTGATTGAACTTTGTATAGAAAGGGGTTTAGTTATAGGTAATACATATTTTAAGAAAAAGAGGATAAATAAGTATACAAGATATGATGTAGGGCGAAATGACAGTAGTTTGTTGGATTATGTATTGGTAGATAAAAGACTGTTGAGTAGACTTCAGGATGTACATGTTTATAGAGGGGCTACAGATATATCAGATCACTTTCTAGTTGTAGCTACACTGAGAGTAAAAGGTAGATGGGATAAAAGGGAAAGAATAGAAGCATCGGGGAAGAGAGAGGTAAAGGGTTTTATAAACTAAAAGAGGAGGCAGTTAGGGAAAGATATAAACAGCTATTGGAGGATAGATGGGCTAATGAGAGCATAGGCAATGGGGTCGAAGAGGTATGGGGTGGGTTTTTAGAAATGTAGTTTTTAGAGTGTTCAGCAGAAGTTTGTGGTTACAGGAAAGTGGGTGCGGAAGGGAAGAGG